CCCCCGCCAATCGCAAGGCGGCGGCAGAGCCCGCCCCGGGCGGAGGAGCCAATCAGCGCCCGCCGAATCCCGGGAGCGGGAGAAAGCGGAAGGCCTAGTCGGCGCCGAGTGCCCGCCGGGCACGGCCGCTCCCAGCCCGGTACGGGCGGCCGCCGGCGGCGCCGAGCGCCTGGCGGGAGCGCCACCGAGGAGGGGACGCGGCCGGCGCCAGCCCTGAGCCCTGCGCTTGGCAGCGCCGCCGCCTCGTTAGTCCTTATTACGTCATCAAAGCGCGCATTAAATCGATCCCTTTTCAATTCCTGGCCGGGCCGCGGCCCGGCGGCGCGGCGCCCCGCGGGGCAGAGGAGGCGGTTCCGCCCGGTACTCACCTCGAGAAGCCGCTCGCCCCGCCGTGCTCGCTCCGCCGCGGCCGCTTCCTGCTCCCCAGCGCGCTGGAAAGCGGGGCGGGTGCCGGCCAATCGCGACTCGCATTCCCGGCCTGCACCACGCGGAGGAAGTGACGCCAGGGGGGTCACCTTTCACACCGCAGGGCGGTAGCGGCGGGTCGGGGGCCGTGGCGGCCCGGTGCATTCTGGGAGATGTAGTCCCGATGTGTGGCAGCACGGGCCAGGCCCAGGGGCTGCCACCCCACTTCCACCGGGGGTGGCACCTCCGGGATGGCGGCTGAGGGCCGGGGCAGGGCCGGGAGCCCCGGCGGCGGGCAGGAGGGCTGGCGGGGAGACCGGCCGTGGCGCCCGCTGCAGGGCGGCCCGGGTTGTGGCGGCCCCGGGAGGCGCAGGGCAGGTGGCTGGGGATGGAAGGAGAGTGCAGTTAAATCCACCATTAAGATAAGGTTAAACACCGTAGTTTTTCCCATGCAGCGAGCTGGCGTATCAGCTGGTTTCAGAAGTGAACCAACAAGTCGATAGGACAAGGGGTAATGGCTTCGCACTGGACAACGGTGGGTTTAGATTATTTATCAGGAAGAAGTTCTTTCCTGTGAGGGTGGTGAGGCACTGGAACAGGCCCAGGGAAGCTGTGGGTGCCTCATCCCTGGAATTATTCAGTACCAGGCTGGGTGGGGCTCTGAGCAACCTGCGTTAGTGGGAGGTGTCCCTGCCCATGGCAGGGGAGTTGGAATAAGATGATCTTTAAGGTCCCTTCCAGCCCAAACCATTCTGTGATTCTAAGTCTGTGCCAATGGCTGAGGGAAATGTGAGCATCTCCTCTTCTGGGTGTGCCTTGCAGTTGTGTTGCTGTATTTTGGGTGAGTGGCTATGCTCCTTAACGTGGGCTGCCAGAACGTTCTGGAAAGCAGGTGGTGGTGGGGCCTAGAGCACGAGCACCACTGGCTGTCGCTGGCACCACTCGATGTTCACAGGATTCTCCTCAGCTCTACTTCCTGAACCAGACCCCCTCCTTTACACGGCCCCTCTCCCACGCAGGGCTTGCACACCACCTTATTTTCCTCTTATAATTTAAATCAAGTGATACTCAAAATGAGTACCGTGAAGGCATGTTGAAAGCTGCCCTGGAATTTGGCCCAGCAAGGCTGCCATTACCTTCCATGGTGCCCAGCTCTGCCTCTCCAGCCCTAAGGTCCCACACCTGAAGAAGGAAATGGCCAACCAGCACCTTACAGCTTGGGGTACTGGCTGAGGCGCCGTACAAAAAGATAACAAGTGAGCGGCATTGGGTGCCACCAGCCCCTCTGCGACCCTCCCCCAGTGCTGGCAACGTTAAACTGGGGTTTCTTTTCTAGGCTGGATTCTTCAGGGATATCGCTAGTCAGCCAGGCTTCCTGTGGTGTCACCATATGAAAGCATATTCATTCAAATAAACCAGTATAATAATTTAACTTGTCAAAACAGACACAATGGTCATCCCTTTGTGTCAATCATGGCCCACAGAAGAGCTGCCACGTGCAATGGCTGTATGTTCTTAGGAGCTTGCCCACGTAATTCCTGTTGGGAGAAATACCAGCTCACACTTAGAATTTTCAAGAGAACAAAGTCGCCAAAGCAAAGATGTAAAAAAATTTACTGTACAAAACAGCTCTGAATCGGGTGCATCTCAAAGCAGAGGCACACCAATCTTTTAGCCTTTCGGTATTTTTATAGTTCTTATCCCGGCTGCCTGAATTACTGTCTCTCTTCTCATTGGCTGAGAAGTTGGAGCTCACACTCTTCCCAATTGCCTGACCTATTACAGATCTGTATTTTACTGAATTTTCACTGACTTTTTAGAGTTGGAAGGGACCATAGAGATCATCTAGTCCAACTCCCCTGCTAAAGCAGGATTGCCCAGAGCTTGTCAGAGCATGTTACTCAGGACTGCATCCAGGCGGGTCTTGATCTAGTTTACATCTTTTTACCTTATAAGGCACACACACCTACTCTACAAAATCATTATCCTAAACACACCTTTGATTAGTTGATTACACTCCACATTATTTCACCGTCTTTCCTATCATCTACTGTCCAATGTTAGTAGTTACAAGCACTCTGGTGGTCGGTTACTTCATCAGGAGGTCATATCCTCATCTTCATCAGTCACCCTCTAGATGATCTTCATCCATTTATCAGTCTTCACAGTCTTTACTCAGCCTTTACAGTCCTTTGTCCGCTTAGCAGTCAGTCATCAGTCTGTCTCTCTTCACCTAAATAACATTCCGTAAACAAGGATCCCCGGACAGCCCCAGGGCATTTCTAAGGATTAGTTGGGTACAATGGATGAGACTCCACTATCACCGGGCCTTCTCTGTCAATACAGACACACTAACAAAAAATATATCGATTAGCTGAAGCAAAACTCGGCCCATTTCTCTCACTGTGAATGGGCACATTTATGAATGCCATCACTTTTCCTTGGTGCCAGGTCTACATGATTACTTTTGCTGTGTTCATCCTCCTCTAAAAGGGCAAATACTTATGAAGTTAAGGCAGCTGTTCAGCACAGAAATCCTATAACATCAAATAAAACATAAATAATAGACAGTTGAGTTCAAATTAATTTTTATATACTCTTTAATACATAAACTGCTAAGACTCCTCACAGTGTTTTATAACACAGTAATATAAGAAAGCTGTATCAATACTGATGCTTTGTAATATTAAATGAACTCAAGAATTAAAAATTTCCATTCCAGCACATTCTACCAATCCAGGCAAGGCGAGTGGTTTGCTTATTTGTAATTATTTATGGTTTTTTCTTACAATTTCTTTTTCCTATGGCATTTTCCATAGTGTTTCTTTCTTCACTTCTTTTTTCCTGTGGCTTCACCCATCTAATTGTACTGCCAGGCTAGATGTGAGCTCTTAAATGAATGGCTCATAATTTGTCCTAGTAGCTTTTTAAATATAAAATTAGACTGATTAAGCCATAACTTTTCAGGTTCTTCTTTTCCTGTCTTTGGGAGGGGTGTGGTGTTTCCCAGCACTACATCTAGGATTTCTGAGAGTTATGTTACAAAACAATTCAATGTAGTTGTAAGTCTCAAAATAGCCTGGTTTATAGGGCTATATTTTACATGCAGGAAAAAAAAAATGTTAGGCAAACATCCAAATGATCTTTATCCATATTTCTGGTTCAAGCCCTATTAGCCATTTGTACGGCTAAAAATTCCCTACCTTTTTTCTCTTTTCCAGAATCACCTCAGTGACACTTTGGAGAAATCCATACTTCTCAAGATAACCTGATAAGCCTTCTGAACACAACATTCAGCTGAGTATGGGAATAATACCAAAGCATAGATGTTCTCTTTCAGCCCTGGGCTTCTCACGGCAGTGTTGAAGGCGGTGGAGAACACCCAGCCAGACTGGGTGGGTGTTGGTAGCCTCTCCCAGGGAGAGCTGTGAAGGAGCAAACAGGCGAAAATGAATACTGAACTAATCGTAGAAAACTGTGAGCCATACATTTCCCTTCTTTAATAAAGAAAACCCCTCTTGTCTGAAGAAATGAAGGCATTGATAAACTGCAGACTTAAAACTAAGAATTCGGAAGGCGTGCTTATGAGCAGGACTGAGTAGATGATAACTGTTTTCCAAAAGCAGTTGATTCAGATTATAAATGAAGGCCAGAAGGCACCATTAGCTTATGTCATCGTCATGGTTTCCGCGAAATTTACCAAAACCAGACTGACAGATGGCTTTCCCCCCTCCACTCCCTCTCCAAAAGAGAGGAGAAGAAGAGATAAGGAGATTTAGAAGTTAAGAATGAACTAAACTACTTTAATGAAGAAATTTCATATTAAAATCAACAAGAAGAAAATAATGAAGTACATACGATATATACATACGATATATACCGTATCAAACTCCCAGGAGGATGTCACCGGCAGGCACTGGGGAAGTTCCCAACTGGACTCAGTGACAGATGGGAACTAGGTTCCAGCTCTGGAGTCAGGAACACATGGATCAGGATCAAAGGCAGATGAACAGAGTCCTCTTTGGACGTCAGCCATTGAAGAGAGTTGACCCTTTGATCCCTCAGCTTTTATGCTGAGTGTGGGGCAGATGGTGTGGAACACCCCAGTTGGTCAGTTTTGGGTCACCTGTCCTGTCTGCTCCTCCCCACAGGTGTGACCCCTCTGCGCTTTTCCGTTTCTGACCCTCCAAAGGGGCAAATAATGAAATTAGTTGACCTTGGTTGTCACAGCAATGAGTATAAGCATACCGTTCCTTGGCATGAAGTACAAACATTGGTCTTACCACTCTGAGAACGAGCAGTTTTCTCCACAGTATGCTGTTAATTTCAGAGAGTTAGAAAAGGCCTAAAATTACTGAACAGAAATTTGGTTCTGTTTTAGTTCATACTGGGACACTCGTGTCAGGCTGTTCACCTCGCAGCCTCTGCCCTACGCCCCCAGCCTCCTGGAGAGTTCTGCCTGGCTCCCAGTGCTCTGTGCCCTCCTTACACACCCACACCTCCCACCGCCTCCTCCCACCTCAGGAACAAATGATTCACCCCGGGGAGGCGCCGAATTCAGATAGCCACAACATGGCCTTTGCTGGTCTCTTCTGATAAAACACGTCTTATGAAACCACCTGCTCCCTCCTCTAGTGATATCAATCATTTGCGAGAAATCTCTGTATCAGGTGAGCCAGTGTGTCTCCGTTGCACAATGACTTCTTCTGTGCATGGCAGCGCTTCGCTGTCACGCCCAGAGCAAGCCAGATGGGTGCTGTTACGCAAGAGAAGAACATTTCTGTACAACCCCTCTGGCAGGTATGCCCAGTGAAGCAATGTCAGTGACCGTCCATAAAGTTTTAAAGGAAATAAAATATGGGTTGTGCCTCTGACAGAGAGCTGTTCTGTTAATCCTCCTCATCTCTTTACTGTTTCAAGAGGGAACAAAAGATATAAAGAATCAATGAAAGTCAAAACAATAGTGGTAACTGTAAAATGCAATGCTTGAAAACTGTAATGTGCTGAATTGTGAACTGATGTTAAAGATCCTTAAGCCTTACATCTGTGACACAAAGATGTCAGCTTGTTCATCTGTTATCTTTACATTTTCAGAGGAAATGCACAGCTTGGACAGGATTGTGTGGACAAGCCCCCCATCGAACCTTATCTACTGTGTGCAAGTTTCGTATTTTTGTGACCCCATGAAGATCAGCTGACTAGTGAAATCAGGGAGACCAGTGTCTGCTGAACACTGCAAGAGAGGGTGGTTGAATTCTAGCATTCTTATCCAAATATTTTCTTTTACATTATTTTAAATATCTGGAAGAAGAATTACTTCTAAGAACCTAGTGTCTATCAGTTTCATAAACCATAGTGATTTGGATTCTGAAGAATTATGAGACGCATGCCTAAAAGAATTGTATAGTGGCTTAGTGCTTAAATAACACCAGGTATAAAATACTTTGCCATTTTTTCCTTTTATCCCAGAACATAGAGAATTGCAAAATCATAGAATGGGTTGGTTTGGAAAGGTCCTTTAAAGATCAACTACTCCAGCACCTGGTATAAATTCCCCAGGCCTTGGCTAGGTCAGTACTTGTCTGGGAAGCCTCTTAAGGAAAACCTTTGTTAAAAAGTTACCTGTGTTAATTGTAAATAAGTACATCCCATGCCGGTTTTGTATGGGCATGCACTGTGCCTCATGAGTAGAAATAACATACATACACATTGTTTATAAAGATTTTGTATATGTAGATATTACCTCCAGATAGAGGTCCATATACCTGTAGATATTATCTCCAGATTTCCACAAGCAAATCTTCTGTAACATGAATTGCAAAATGTTTTTGTTTTGTGGGGTTTTTTATAAGCAATGGTAAACATAACTCATCAGGACATGAAATGTGGTGATTTTTCTCTCTCTCTTTAGTAATCCATGGAAATCTACAGAGTCTGGAAAGGATTAAAGCTAAACTGAAAGAAAAGGGTTTGACGTAGCGCACTATCAGTGCTGCAGTTTCATGTTTTATATGTGCAGAAACATTAACAGACAATTTTAGATTACTCCTTCTATCAGGCCATGTAATCTTCGTAGAAAACTGTAAACCTATGGACCATATAATTGCTGGGAGAAATTACGTCTGACTGATAGGCTCATAAAATGGATGAGAGTTTACTTTGGAACCTGAAGACAATCAGGGAAATGTTCCACATGGAATTAAGATAATATTAAAAGCAATAAAATGTTGGAAAAATGGACAACCTAGAAATAATTCTTCCCATTATCTAGGGGAATATTTTTATCCTTTGTCATGCCTTAACCCCAGCTGGCAACTAGGACCACACAGATGCTCACTCACTGCCTCCAGCTGGGATGGAGAAGAGAATCAGAAGAGTAAAAGTGAGAAAAACCTCATGGGTTGAGATAAAGACACTTTAACAGGCAGAGCAAAAGCAAAGCAATGCAAGGAATTCATTCACCCCTTCCCAAGGGCAGGCAGGTGTTCAGCCGTCTCCAGGAAAGCAGGGCTCCGTTCACGCCTAATGGTTACTTGGGAAGACAAACGCCGTAACTCGGAACATTCCCCCCTTCCTTCTTCTTCCCCCAGCTTTATGTCCTGAGCGTGACATCACATGGTATGGAATATCCCTTTGGTCAGCTGGGGTCAGCTGTCCTGGCTGTGTCTCCTCTCAACTTTTTTATGGACTCCCAGCCTGCTCACTGATGGGGTGGTGTGAGGAGCAGCAAAGGCCTTGAGAGCTTAGCAACAAATAAAAACATTAGTGTGCAACCTACACTATACCCATCACAAATCCAAAACACAACACTATGCCAGTTGTTAGCAACAAAGTACAACCCCATCCCAGATAAAATCATGACATCCTTCAAGAACTTTTTTTCTTTCTGGCACAGCCTTCCATCCATCAAGCGCATCTTCCATCCACCCGTGCAGGACCACGTGGGCTCTGTGGCGTATGGACTGTCGCCGTGCTGACTGTAACAGCAACTTAACTACTCCCTGTGGAGACACACAGGTGGAGCAGCTACCAAAGCACAGGAGCTACTGAAAGAGCCTCTGCTCTGTCCTTAAGACCAGCCTCAGGCAGGGTCCACGCTGTAAACCTCAAACTGTGCCTGAGCCGCCGACTGCACCGTGATTTGCCTGAACAACGGAGAATCGACTCCTACATTTGGCTTCAGGACAACTACATACGTGAAATCCTGCATGATCCCTTGATTATATATTTTGTAACTTACCTTGGGCACATGTCTGTGTTAAAGGATCAACAAAAAATTTATAATTAACTTAAAACATTTACAAGCAAGACATCATGAAGTCTTTGCAAAAAGGGGAACACAATTAAAAAGCATTTATTGTTAATTATTACTGTTATTACAGTCATGGGATCACTTACGCATTTAGTTTTCTGGTCTGTCTCTCCTTCTGAATGCCAGCTAGCTGTGTTGGAGAGAATGTTCTGCAACTTTATTGCCATGATTTTTAAAGTGCTACAAGTTTTTTTCACTTCACATTCATATTTCGTTTCCTCTTCTTGAGCTTTTACAGGAAATTTGGCAATGATCGTGGTGCAGGATCAGCACAAATCCCTGCTTTGTTTTTCTTCTTTATTTCTTCTTTTTTGCTGACAAGAAAAAGTTCCAAAAAATTCAGCTTGCCATTTAGAGGGCTAGATAAAACACTGATGGTGAAACACAGATGTGGGAGCTGCTCAGCTGTTCTACCATGAGATCCTAAGCTTGGGCTCTACTGGGTATACTACCACCTCCTTAAATTCAGTTCTTAAGACTGTTATATGCCTGATAGGTAAATAATAACTAGTAAATAATACAAGGCATACCTGAGTAATATTTTGAACATGTCTTCCTGCCAAGAGACAGAAATAAGAAATGAAAATAGAGGTCAACTAGAGATGAGGACTTGTCAAAGTAAAATGCCAACCTGGCACTCACCTCTCCTGTAGTTCTGCAAGAGTCTTTACAAATGAGCAGCCATGCAAACTTCTATGGACTGGAGAGATGTTAAGGCATAGTGTGATGACTATTTCTTGTCAGGACCAGGACTCACTCGCTTTTCAAGTTCCACAAGTTGAACCAGTGCTTTTAGAATGGGATGAGGAGACTCAGAAGTGGGTATTGCTGTTATTGCCTGTAATTAGAGAACATGACATGGAGCCCGTTCAGTGTGAATTCTCAGGCAAGCCAACAGGTCCATCCAAACACACGTGAACATATGAACTGACCACAATTTCATAGAAGCAACCAATAGCAGCTCCTTGAATTTTGCTGGGCATATTTTTTCTTGCCTTTGCTATTTGCAGGGATGTGGAGTAGTGTGATGGTTTGTGCAGGTGACTTCCGAAGGTGTCCTCAGACAAAATGTCATCATAGCTTCCCTAGCCTCACTTCTCTGCCTTTCAAACACCAAATTAGTTCCTTTGTGTTGGATTCTGCAACCTTTATTTTATTAATTGTATCTTCTCTACTTTCACTTCTCTTCCTTTCAAATGCTGAGTTAGTTCCTCTGTGTTGGACCCTTTATTCTGGAATGGTGTAACAGTTCTATTACTCTGATTTTCACTTTCCCCTCAACCAGGCAAAACCTAGGAGACCAAAGCTGCAGGAAACATAGGAAGACTGCTGGTGTCAAGGGAGGGCTAATATGTTTGTCAGATATAATGGTCTCCAATCTTTGCTGGCCCGTTGTCAACCTAATACAGAGACAATATTCTGTACTCATAATTTTACCTTGCCTTCATTATTACCTTAAAGAACTGCGTCTGTGGAAAATAAAATATAGGACTGTAATATCAGAAGGTTGGGGACTTCTGTTATATGTATTTCATCCAAAACACACAGAAAGAAATGTATGTTCATAATTATGATTTTCAGCAAAAATGTGAACTCTTCAGGAGAATAGGAAACACTTGAAAATCTGAAGCCAGTAATGGTCTTTTTTTTTTTTTTTTCACCAGTCAGTATGAATTTATGATAGCTACATTATATACTCTAGTATTAAAGCCACTCTAGTCTATTAAGCATTTAGCATTTCCAGAAGTGAAGTTATGTGCAGTTATCCAGCTGACTATAGGCATACCCTTTACATCCTGAGTGTGGGTTGCAGATCTCAAGTAGCTGCATATCGGTAATTGGTGCTGAATGTTTGAGAAAGTACTATCTGCAGAAGGCACAACCTGTGAGCCAGTACAGCTTTGTTAGCAGAAATCAAATTCTGAATTGTAGTCACTATTACTGACTCTAAATAATGGCACTGACGACAACAGGAAGGATGTTACAGTAAGATAGCTGCTTTAAGTCCTCCTTGCATGTCAAATGATGCTTCCTGATATAAATCAGATAAAGAACTGACTCTTCCACATTTCTATCAGCATTCAAAAAACAGGAGGCAGTCAGCCTGTTCGAGGTTTGATTGCTGAAAGCATACATATCAGCACTGCTCTCCAGTTTTATATAGAACACATTTAATAAGCAGTTCAGTCCTCAGAAGGTTGGTATTGCTTTACAGTATTGCTTTATCTACAGAGACCACTTGAGGTATTTACATTTGGAATCCACTATGGTACAAGGAGGCCTGTTTTTTGTGAAAATAGCTTTTACCCATGGTGGCAGTAAATGGCTGTCAATCTCAGCTTCCCGTGTGCTGCAGCAGCAAAGTATATTTCGTTAAGTGAAAACTTTCACTTAGACTCATCTTCTTTTGCATCTCACCTGCAAGTTGTTTCAGCAGTTCACAACAATTTGCTACTTAGAGTGCTTTGATGCTGAAATGGCAGCTGCTTTTAAATTTCCAAGATGGACAAAGCAGTAAAAAATGGTTGATGTAGCCAGTTATACCTTCATTACTGGTGTTGGTGACACATTCACACACTCCTGCCCTAAGACAGGAGCACAAGACTTTTTTTCACAGTTCAGCATTCCAGGACTGTGCTATCTGAAAAGAAGTATCATCAACAACCAACCTTCAATATCATGTATTCGAAGCCGTTAAGTATTTCAGTTTGTCAGACTCGGTCTCATGTAAAGCAATCCCCATCTTGTGCAGAGTGGTGTGAGGCTGTCCCTGAGCTCTCCTAACACCTCTGGCAGGCTGTGGTGAGAGTGCACTGCTGCACTCGCAAGGAAATAAAGCAACACAAAACCACAAAGAGAAATTTAACCAAGAATATGTTGTCCATTTTTAAACCACAATTCAACAGTTTTTGATATAGAACTTCATACAAAACCCTCTTATTCATTAGCTGGACCCTTGTTTTCACTTCAGTTTTCATGTATTTTGCAACAGATAAGCAAAGAACAGACTTGAACTTCCTTTAAGGTTCACTGTATATTGTCTCTGAATCTCATGCACTGTGTTGTCATAATTTCCATTCCCCGGCTGGGGTTCAGTGCAGTGAACTATGCTTGGATGGCCTGTTATAAATCATTAACAAAAACTTGCTTGTATAGGTGTTTCTGGTGAGAAGACTTTAAGGTCACCTGGAATGAACTGCTGTAGATTTAGCTGGTGAATCATTTTCCTCACATCTCCTAAGCAGAGTTAATGGGTATAAAGACTTTATTGGGAATTGTTTGTATTGCTGATGATAATTGTGAAGGTATAATTACAGTTACACCCTCCTGAAGACCTGATCTGTGTACAGAAAACTGTCTGAATACAGAAGGGTTTTGTTTGACTTTGTATTCATTGGTCCAGATCCTTAATTACTTTAGTTATGCATTGACTCAGGGCACCATACTGGGAAGCCCAAAACTGCTTGCTGAGTTCCTGGTGCAACTGCACCATTCCAGTAGAACTGGGGATCACTGATCATTGTGTGGGATATGAGATCCACACAGGAGATCTGTACAGATACCCTGCTTTGGGCATTGCTTCTTCCTTAATTTACCGTCCCTAACACCAGGAGCCTAAGAGTCACACCAAGCCTAGGCAGAGTCACACCCAACTGAAGGTATCTTCATTTTTCTTCTGTAGATCACAGGACTGCCAAGTACTAATAAATATACTGAAAAATACAAAAATACACAAGATGTCGTACAGCTATGATCTCCTTAACCACCTCTTGGGTATCGTCAGGTAATTCGTCCTTCCTTCAAATGATAAGAGGGCCACTGGTTTTAGGCCCACTGAGGTGACATGGGGAACTTGTGGGCTGATAGAACTATTGCAGGATAAATGCAGAAAGTAAACAGAGCCAATACGGAACACAGAATACATGTAGGTATTCAGCAACTTGGGTCAGTTCGCATTTGTAATCTGTGCAATGATTATGACTTAGGACATATCTGATGAGAGAAGATTTTCCTTGCTAATAACAGTGTGCTACAGTTAGGTCCAAGTAGAGAAAGATACTTCATTATTATAGTGGAATTTCCAAGCAGAAAGCCAAAACATTTTTTCTACTAGGTCAGAGCTCCTTTAAGCCTCATTTTGTTTTTAAGTATACAAATGCGTGTATCAGCTATTCCTTTGTTCACAGAAACAATCTCCAAGCCTAAATCAGAGGATGTCAGCTTTTGCTGCTTCCTTTGAATTCTGAGCAGTTTGCATTTAGTTATCTTACGCTGCTCTGGATCTCACATGGGAGGAGCACGAGACCAATACTGCACCACTATCCTTCTTTCTGGACCTAATTTAACAAATGAACTTGTGGTTCTAATTATTTTGCTGAATTTACATTAATGTATCTTCTTAGCCTTCGTTTAAATTACCCTTTATTGACAGCATGTAACCAAGAGTTTAAGGCCCCATAAACAAATGGATATTTGTTTATGTAAGTCTCAACAGCCTGTTTTAGTGGCAATTTATTCCACTATAGAGTACGAGCAAGTCCACTGAGCTGACACAGTTACGCTGTTATAAAATGAGGAGACGTGAGAAGAATCAGTAGAGACTTATGATCTGCCAGTGGACTTTGAATTCCCTGTTTGTGACATCCTTCAGTCACAAGAGCAAAACAGACACTGAAGTCCTAAGGTCTCATGATAGAATTCGTGCTGGATCCCTGTTCTGCCTCTCATTATTTGCACATCTTGGAAATCACAACAGCAGACTTTACCAGAATATAATTACTGACAGCCTCATAATTCCATGTCCATTTGAGATTTTTTTTTTTTAAAGAAATGTACATGTTACCAATCTTGGTAACAGAAATAACAAACATCAGTTATTTTCCAAAGACATTGGTATTTCTGTGCTGTGATGCTTTGAAAAGTTTGAAACATATCAAAAAAGGGGATAGTTTTTGTTCAATAAGAAGGGAAGGGGGCTGTTATTGCTACCAGGACCATTATTCCCCACAAATATGACTGAAGTGAGTAGAAACAGGATGATAATTAAAAAAATTATTGTTTGAAACTGAAGACTTGTCCAAATTAGAGTTCATAACTGCCTCCTGCAGTGAGATTGGAACATACTCAACAACGAAGAAAATACTTGTAGTGGAAAGCAAAATTTAAGACAATTATTTCTTCAGAGGCTATGGACAAAGAGCTACAGGAGCCTAAAATTCAACATGGATTAATATAAGAAATGGAATGGTCAGACTCTTAGACTGTAAATTTAACATTTATTCTACTGTTTGTAAAGAAAATGTGGAAGTGGTTTTATTTCCATTCAGAATGAGTAATGCTTCAGACCGAAGTTTAAACATATTTAGGGTTTATATATTTCTAAACCAACTGAATTAGGTCTATCTAAACCCACAGCCAACATTATAATATTCCCTACCATTTGCTTTAAGACAGAGGAACTTTTTTCCTCAATAAATCTTGAGGCGGAACAATGATAAGGTGACTGCTACAAAGCAAGATGCTTATATCTTATCACTGTGAATGTAGTTAAGCTCCCCATAATATTACAAGGGTTACAATAAATGTAATGAATATAATAATAAAAAATGATATAATCAATACTATTTATTGGCACAGTGATATTGCTAATAACATCTTCTCTCTATAAGGGAAGTGAAGGTCTGCAGGTGTTTCTGCATACAATATAGGAGGAAATACTAACTTTTCAGTAGTGACCCCTGTACGTTCCCATCCTCAATGAGCTTTCCATAGCAATGTAGCTGTTTTATAAGTTACCTACTTCAGCTCAGTTTACTCTGTCTGGACTTGTTATTCACCAGTACTTGTGAACTGCTAGTCCCAGCAGCATTCAGTGGTATTACATATAGCTTATAGGCTCTGCAGTTGTTCATCAAGCCTTGTGCACATCCCTCTCTACAAAGCTGAAAAAGAAATGGGAATGGAATATTGGTCGTTATTTGAGAGTATCTCCATCATGTTACAATAATTGACAAGAGACCAGCTGTCAGCCACTACTGAGCTGCATTTTATTCCTACTAACAGATCTGTACCTGCTTCATTTCTTTCTGGCTGCTTCAGCGTGTATTTAGGAATTGACAGACATGATGCACACCAAACACTTACTTTCAGCCAACCCTGCAGGCCTTTATTAGTGCTGAAAATCAACACCCTATCCTGAGGCAGGAGGCCCACAAATAATCATCTATCATTTTGGAGTAGTGAAGGATATCACCACAGTTATGAGGGCTTGGTCCCAACCCAGCAAAGAACACAAGGATGTGTTTCCCTAACAATATGAGGAACGTGAGCACATCCCACCTTGTCAAAAATGTTCAGTCCTAGTCTGATGGGTGAATGAAATGAAACTTCAGATCTTTTGTCCGTCTTTCCATTGACTTGAGCATAGGACTTCTACAGGTTGAACTCCAAGGTTGGCAGTTCCATTTCTCACACCCAACCAGAAGCGGAAAGCTCATCTGTGCAGGAGACAGACTCAGGCCACAGAACTAACCAATATAAATCTCACCACCTTAAACTCTGAGGGCAGACCAAGTTTTCAGACAGTTATTTCTCCATAACCACACATACAATGTACATTGAAGGGAATCAAACTGGAGCAAACTGCAGTCAAAATAAAACATGCTGCACACAAACCATTCTGCCACAGAGAAAAGAGTAAGGGAACAGTTTAACCTGAATGTCCACCGACACCTCAGTGATGACGGCGTTAAGGAAACACAACCCAGTAATGTGTGGGTATTGCCAATTGGTAGAGCTTCATGGCTTTCATGTAGCTACATTGATCTGAATGGCTGAAGATCTGGGCTCTAACCTTCAGAAGCTGATAAACTGGCAGGTTCTACAGAAGTTTTAAAACTGAGTGATGTAATCAAGAGCAGCTGGGCAAAAGGAGGTCCGTGCTGTACATGCCCGTAGACAGGGTACGCCATTCTCTAAGGCAAATAGCAGATAAAGCATATGAAAACCTGCTAGCTCAGCGTTTTTATAAATAGAGAAGTACCTTCCCCCTCTCACTGTGGTTACCACTGTGTTCAGAAAATAATGACTCTTTGGCCCACCCCCCTCCTCTGACTGTACCACTGTCTCCAGCTGACTGGGGTGACTGACAAACTGCATAACTTGATATTCAAAGTCATTACATTAAAAACGCCTTGCCATTCTGCACGTAAAATGGTTTCCACTCGGAATTAGTTAATGGAGAAGAATTTTGGCTACTTTTGCTGAAGGGGTTTGCTTTGCTTGCAAGGTCGTTCAGAATAAGCTCCCTGAACTTTGAACCGTATCTGCAAAGTGAGATAAACAAGAGCTGTATAAATACCACAGCCCTTTTCCCCACACTGCTTTCTTCTGCAGCGGAGTGGAGCAGAGCTGCCAAGGAGCGGGGAGGGGGGAGGAAAGGGTAAGTGTGCTGGTTTTGCTATGAAAGAGCTTCATGACTTCAGATTTGGCAGGGTGTCTGTGCATTTCTTTGGCTGAAAAGGCTGACTGTGGAAATTTCCGTTGGAAACCGATGAGAAAGTTGAAATGCAAAGAGAAGTATAATTCAGAACACAGCTCTCGCCTGGTTGACAGGGCAGGACAGCTGTTGCTGGGAGCTGCATGCCAGGGCTGCAGAAGGATATCAAGATGTCCTAGGATTTTCATGTGCTTATAATGGATATAAAGGCGGGCAGGTTTCCAGATGTGTGGGAAGAGTGAAAAAATAGCTCTGTTGATACCTAGTGGAGCACAGTTTAATCTTCAACGTACTGCACCTAGAATACTTTTGGTATTCTAGAAAGGAAAACATTAGGGACAGAGGGGTTTCACAAATGATGTTGCCTTTGCAGCAGCTGGCTCTTGTTTTGAAAGATCAGTTATTAAAATGTTTTATTTTTTTTATGATATGACAATATTGATGAAATGCCTGTTATTTATCAGAACTTAGTGTTTACGAAACATTCTGTGTTTACTGTCAGACTTTGACGCAAGTGTTGAAATTATACAATTCCACAACCTAGGACATGTTGGGGAGCAGTTTTGTAATTTTATATATTTCTCGATAATGAATATTTTCAGAACATATTAAGCCAAATTATAATGTTAATAGAATCAAAGGAAAACATAATTACAGAATTTCTAATATGCTTTGATTTTCATAAACACTAAATGGACTAAGTGTGGGCAGGAGGTTTTGTAATACCCGAGGAATCCTGAAACTCAGTTTTCATTTCCTGTTTTTGCAAAACTAGTTTCTAGTGCCTGAATTCTTAAGAGATTTTTTTTCAATGGGATCCAAATAGTACAGAAGAACTTGTGAAAAATTTAAAGTCTTTTTTTTTTTAATGTATGCCAGGTTCTATAACAATTTCCATGTACCAAAATACACGTTGGTGCAAGTACTTCTAAGTCAGTGGAATTACGTTGGAATCTGGAGTGAACTGGTCTAGATTCTTAATGGTGTAAACTGGCTCTGCACAACTGATTTCAAAACACAAGAAATGAGGCCACTTTAAAATCACTGAAGTGTTAAAAACAGTCAAGAAGAAATTACAAAGGGGAATGAACAACGCATTCTGATTAGTAGCATTTTAAAAAAATCCAGTTATTCTCAATGCCTATATTTCAGCTGCTTACATACAACAAAAAAATACTGCCGATTTATTGTAGGGGAACTCCACTGCAAAGTGAAAGAAATATGATCAAGCAGGAGCAAATTAGTTCAAATATTTTTTTATTTTTTTGAAACTGAGTGGAGCCAATGTCCTGCTGTGTTTTGTTATGGGAATGTCAGAGTCTGAACTTTGTTCAGGCATTGATCTCATTCTGTTTATTTTCTCTCTTTTCAGATAAAGCCCAGCCATGTGGGCAGGGCTGGGGCTAGTTCTGGCTCTCTGCCTCCTCCCAGGAGGAGGGGCAGAGACCCAGAACTGCAAGGAGCCCCCAGAATGGCATATTGGGGAGGAGAACCCCATGCTGAACTCTAGGGGCTCAGTGACAGTGGTGGCTCTCCTCCAAGCTAGCTGATACTTGTGCCTGCTGCAGGCTTCCAGGTAAGTGTAAATCTCTTGCCCAGTTGTTGTTAAAATGTGATCAGCCAATTTTTTAGTGCCATTTTAATACATGTGCCCAATAGAGACATGCTCAATGAACTCAAGCTTCCTCAAATGCCACCATCCCAGCTGGCGTGTGTGGCCCAGTGACAAGGTTAACTCTCAGCAGGAGCATTTTGTGCCAGTGGCTCAGATTCTTTATCTCTTGACTCAGTCCTGACTGACACATCATCTTCTCCAGACAGTATTTACAACACACAAGTATGATGAACTTGACAGTAATGAAACCCAAAATATGAAAACCCAACAAAAACAGTTCCTCAAGACCGGGCTTCAGTTAGCAAAAGATGATTAATGTAGCAGAGATGCTGAAGCCAGAAAACACCTTAATTCTCTGACATGGCCAGAACACCTGAGACCTGAGGCAAAGAGATCTGTGATCATGCATTTCTTGTGTAAGACCTGTAGGGGAAAAGGCAGATCAAAACATGGGCCTTTCATGTGCTTTCCCAGCTCCAGTTCAGAGGTCCTAGTTATAAAAAAACCACCCAGAATATAAGGCAAAGACTGGCCTTTCAGAACATAGATGAAGCATTCAAGGGATTTGTCAGTCTTATATTTTCATACAAGACCTGGGACATTGATGCTCTGGTTTCTAGAACCTACTTCTGTGCAAATAATTAGGTATCATGACGGCAACAGCAGCAAGAAAGTAATTTTGAGCTGACCCAAAGAGAAATTAATTCAGCCCTTGTCTCAGATTCATTTAGTGATTGTGAAATCATTTTGGTTTAAAAATTGATAGCATCGGTTTCAAAGCTTGATTTTAATCACTGTAATAACGTCTCAGTTTCCCCCTCTAGGCTGCATAACTTCATACGATAATAGTCTTTGCAAGTTTGTGAAGAACTAGATTTGGAAAAGTGGTGGTAAATCTCTGGCTCCATCAAAGTCAAAAGTGGGCTTAGTGGTTGACTTTCAAGGTAGTTGGGTTTGATCCTCTACATTTTAGAAAGGTTTTAAAGAATCTTGCAAGCCTAGGACTATTTCCTGAAACTCAAAAAAAAAAAAAAAAAGTTTTCTAAAGTAATTAAATAGGAAGGATACAAATGAAAAGGAAAAAAAAACCAAAAAAAACCACTTCACATTGTACAACAAGAAATCAGGTTTCTCTACTATAGATCAAATAAAGACTTTTGTGAGGCGAAAGGTAAAGACTAATAACTGCAAGCCAGGTCATGCACAAATTCTATAGCCATCCTTTTGACCCAGTTGCTATAATACGCCTTTTCTGGCTGTTACAGCAAGTAGACATGTCAGGATGAGTGGGAGAGCTATCAGCCTTTTACTACAACTTTGTTTTCTTGATTATTCATCTTCTGCTATATTTACAATATGCATTCTTTAACCAACTACGTGACCAAAACCTAAGCGTTTACATAAAGACATCAAATAAACTCACTGTGTCAGACCAGTGTGCAAGGACTGAAATAAAAATGACACTGAATTTTGTCTGAAAACAGATGTTTGCTGTAGTACTGCATTAGTACTGACGTCTTAGTACTGGCATCTTGGTAGTCCATTCTACTTACAAGGACAGGACCCGTGGTGTAGCTGTTGTAGACTCTGGTGACAGAACAGTTGATAGTCATGGCAAGAATGTTTTAGTAGTGTCAGACTGTTGCTATTAAAACTAGGAGAAAATAACTCACCATAATAAAAGCAGCATGGAGCATATTAACTTCGATTGAACACAGCAAATCTTATGATTCTGTAATGAGTTTTGGTCTTGCTTTACATTTTCCACTAGACTGGAGGACCTGCGAGTGAAGTTGGAGAATGAAGGGCTGGTCAATATCTCGTATGTGGTTGTCAACCATCAGGGAGCTCATTCCCAGAGGAAATTCCACCTACTGAAGGAAAGTGTTTCAGACTACATTACTGTCTACCAGCAAGATGAACAGCAACCTGATGTCTGGACTACCTTAAATGGAAGCAAAGACGACTTTCTCATTTATGACAGGTCAGTGTTGAGAGGGGAACACGGGAAAATGTTTGCATGTATTTAGAGTAACGCTTTGTGAATCTCTGCATTATTTCATTGATTTGGAAATAACCTGATTATCTCACAACGAAGACATCATAATCAACTTCTAGGTTGCACTAAGAAAACCATTTGCATTTACTGGGAAAAGGAGGCTACAAAAGAAAAGTCTGCTTTTGCTTAAGCAAGTTTGGGATAAATAAAATTTTCTTTATAATTACTGTGGATTTAGATTAGTATAACTGAGTGTAGAATTTGATAGCATGATTCTGGTCTTACGCTGGTTTTGTTTTCAGACAACTTCATTACATGTGACAGTAGAATCAAACGAGAAAAGCCATCTTGAGTTCTCATGAAAAAACATTTTGACTGGACTTGTTGAAAATGTCATGTAGCCATACGTAAAAATTAGTCTTTGGGTGAAAATGAAAGCTTTGGAAGAAAACACCGTTTTGATCATAGGATTCTGGGATGTGTATCTTTTGGCAGAACCAGTAATAACTCTTTAATTGAAATTGTGATTTTTTGGTTTTGATTTGATGAAAATTATTTGGCAGGTCCTGCTCCAATGTACCAATTGCGTAGTCAAGTTCAATGCACATTCCAATCAAAACACACGTTATGTTGCTCAAAAACCTTCTTGGTAAGGGTGCAACAGCCGTGTGGCGCTTTGTACGGCTACGCAAACAGCCTTCCTCGTTAGCAAGATAGGTGTGTAAGGAGTGTCCCTCTGCCAGCCTAAGTGCCACTGAACCAGAGGCTTCTGCCAGCAGAGTTACTATGTCAGCCAGAAGTGGTGCATCACCCTCCTGAGCCGTGCAGCTGAGTGGGCAATTAAGTATGTCTCCTTATTAGACTGTATTTCATTCACCCGCCATGGGACTGTACACTGCGGGTGAAGGAAATACAGTCTGATAAGGAGACATGCTTAATTTTAGGTCTGTGCTTATGTGTACGTAACCACAAAGTTCTTTCTCTCCTTAGATGTGGCCGTCTGGTGTATCACCTGGGCCTGCCCTACTCCTTCCTGTCTTTCCAGTATGTAGAAGAATCGATTAAGGTTGCCTACTGTGAAAGCAAGTGCGGGAACTGCTCTTACACGGTATTTTCTTGTCTCATTCTACATATACTGGGAAAGGAAACTGGATTTGACTCATTCTTAAAATATCATTTCAGTGTAATTAATCCAAACCCCCATGATTTAGAATTTACATAAACTGCATGTGTTTTGACAGAGAGCTTTTAAACATTTTCTAAACTGAATTAGATCTAATTAAGAAATTCTTTCCTGTGAGGGTGGTGAGACACTGGAACGGGTTGCCCAGAGAAGCTGTGGCTGCCCCATCCCTGGGGGTGTCCAAGGCCAGGCTGGATGGGGCTTGGAGCAACCTGGTCTGGTGGGAGGTGGCAGTGGCGTTGGAACTCCATGGTCTTTAAAGTCCTTTCCAACCCAAACCATTATGTGATTCTGTAATTCATAATAGACTGATTATCTGAATTCCTGCCCTTAATAGAAATGCAAATAATTTTCAGAAATCTAAATGCAATCTTGGAGGCTAATTCTGGGGTCACGTACAGCTGGTAAGCAATTAGCTACTCTAGTTTTTGGGGCCAGCTAAGTACTTCGATAAGGAGCTGGGGCTGTTTAGTATGAGGAAGAGGAGGCTGAGGGGAGACCTCATCACTCTCTACAACTTCGTGAAAGGACACTGTAGAGAGGTTGGTGCTGGTCTCTTCTCACAGGTAATTAACAATAGAACAAGAGGGAATGGCTTCAAGCTCCAACAGGGTAGGTTTAGATTGAACATTAGGAAGGAATTTTTCACAGAAAGAGTGGTCGGGCATTGGAACAGGCTGCCCAGGGAGGTGGTTGAGTCACCGTCCCTGGAAGTGTTTAAGGGCCGTTTAGATGTGGTACTGAGGGATATGGTGTAGGGGAGGACTTTGTAGAGTAGGGTAGATGGTTGGACTCGATGATCCCATGGGTCTCTTCCAACCTCAATGCTTCTATGATTCTATGAAATATTTTTTTTAAAAAAACAACCCTATGAATCAAATCCAAGCTGGTTTGAGTTACTATTCATTTTAGTTTACATTTAAACACAGTATACAATAGTTACATTAAAAGAGTGATAATACAAGGTGACAAATTATGGTTACCCTTACAAAAGTAGGGTAGTTCTATTTTACATATAGCTAAAGATCAGAACTACTTTGAGGATTATCAACAAATTAACATACATACTCATGGAAGTTCAATGAGAATAATGACTTTCCGTCCCATTAGACACTTTTCCAGCTAAATGTAGACCTCAGGGAGGTCAGACATGGGATCCTAGAAAAAAGAATACTTCTATTAGCAACTCCTTAAATTATAATTCCTAAAACTTTATATTATGAGCCCTGTCTGGTTATCAGTGGTGTTGCAAATTAAGGTTCTTTTTTGATACATTCATATCTTTCTTCAGCAAAGCAGCACAAGTAATTTGAAATTGGGTTTCAGATTCTGCCAAAATGTTAAGATAATTAATAATTTACAACTAGTTTGCCTTCTACTTAACACCACCTTCTGTTTTGCAGGAACCCGATATTGATGGTGTATGTGAGAACATCACTAAAAGTGTGGATGAAAAGCTGGCGGAGATAGAACCCAAACCATCTGGTCACCATTCACACCACCACCGTGGGCACGGGCACGGGCACGGGCAGGGGCACAGGCACCGGCACCACCACCACCGCGGGGGCAGTCGTCATTCCAAAAATGAGGACCATCAGGCTTCTTCTGAAAGTCATAGACACCACCCTCACAGCGGTCGGCGTCACAGAGTTTTCGGTCATAGCAGACACGATCAGGCAGGTAGTCAGGAACAGGTAGACCCCGCTCCTCCAGGAGAAAGTGTGGAAATTCCACAAGATAAAAGGCTGTGAAAAAAAGGGAAAACCAGCTGTAAAAACCAGCTAACTTGAAATTGGCAGACAGCATCAGACTCCGCTTTGAGTAGCTGATGCTGTCATTGCCGACACCTTTTGTTTGAGGAGCTGGGAAACTCTGTCACTTGACAGTGTCGTGGAGCACTTCCAAACTCCTGCAGGTGACACGGGCAGCTGTCAGCAGAGGACATCACTGAATCTTGACAGTGACGTCTGCTCACTGCTGCCTGACAGTCACCGGCAGCAGGAGCCAGTGAAGCCAGCGACACCTGACAGTGAGAGGAGAAGGCAAGAAACTGAGCCTGAGAAACAAACTAAGCACCTTGAAAAATGCAAGGGAGTCCTGCTGCCTAAATTCGTACAGTTGTGAGAGTGGAAAAATGAACAGATAAAGCGTTTTCATTGCCCCCAATTAAAAATTACACTACGACAGGTGTGTAGAGTTAAAATATTGAAGAAGAATTAAAGAGCAGCGCTCATACAATTACGCAACACCTGCCAAATTCCATCAGTGAAAAGCTTCATAATTTAGAGGAATTTAATTGACCTGCAGTTTGTTTTTCAGTCGCACAGGGAAGGTGTCTGCATTCTTGATTAATTTGTCTGTCTTGTTTCTCTTCTAAACGTTCTGCTTGCATTTGTGAGGGCAGGAGCGTAAACTATGACCTAGGGGCTCCTGTCTGATGTTTTGCAATCAGGAACAGAAGATAACCAAAGCAGATATTTTAATCATCTTTATTAAGAAGATGGACTACATTCAGAAGTTGTGTTATTTTTTTGTTGTTGTTTTTCTCTTAACTTGGGGATACAGATTATTTACAAGAACAGTTTATTCCTAAGCAACGTGTGAAAATAACTTTTTATCTCAAATGTAAGATACAAACAGTAATTGCATTATTTTAAAGTAACAGATTAAATGCTTAACTTTTGTCATTTAGATATGGTATCAGGGTCCATTAATACATACTACTACAGCTTGTAAAATCCCACTAAATCAGTAAGATGGTGCCTAAAGTGAGACGAAGCATTAACAACTCTTTGTGCAAAATCAGTATCAAGAGGAGGGAGGGGCAGAACAAATTTAATCTCGGTTTAATGTCTGTCTTTGTAACAGTGCTGAATTTGATAAATCTGTATTGATTAGTGAGGTAATATACACCACTTAAACTTCAGTAACTTCACTGTCTGTAGCTTAGCATTCCTAACCTTTGAGTAACTGAGCTGAAGTAAAAATGTAGTTGTTCGAAGGATTCTTGGACGAAGAACAGACTATTCAAGAAAGGGAAACTGCTTTGAAAGCATACACCATAATTAATGATGGTTTAATAGGGAAATATTTACTCCTACGAAACCTGAATCCTTTTATTGTGAATGCTGATTAGCAAGGAAGTAGCCCTGAATATACACAGAATGCATGCCTTCGGAATATCTGACAAGAGTGTTTTCAATAAAAAATATTCTGTATTTCTTCGTATCTGGTTTTTACTTGCAGGTGCACAGTTTGAAATAGACTGTTCCTATTTCTCACTGTCTGTACTACTGAGATACTTCACGTCATTTATTCAAAATCGTCTCCGTTTGAGGTGCAGGTCTTGGCCTTTATTAAGACGTTGCTCCAAGTCTCTTATGGTATTACGGAGAATTTCAATTTCCTTGTTTTTCTCCTCCTGCAGATGCTGCAGCTTCTGTAAAAATGCAAGGAAAGGCTTCATTGTTAAGCATCAAATAGAACTATGTAACAATACAACATGCTATTACTAATGAGAAATACTCTAAAAAAGAGTATTTTTCTCCTTATTTTGCAAAGGTGACTTCACCAGAATCCAGTTTTTGTGACATCCTAGAGTCCCAAACCTATAAAAACAATAATGCACATATATAATTTATATCACAAGTCATTTATGCCAGTCCAAATCTTAAGTTCCCAGGTTAACAATTCTGTACTAAAACCACTCTCCATGCGGGTTTTTGTTGTTGAACCCCGGCTACATCAACATTGGTGCAAAGAGACTGGACATTATTGGTCCAGAGGTGGGAGGGATTTGTGGGGGACTGAGTGAGATGGACTCCCAAGGCATGAAACCCCACCCCCACTCACTCCATCCCCCCAACCCCGAAAGCGTTGCTGCAGAACGCACACCCTCAAACCCCCAGCAGCTGCTGCTGCAAACAGGCTGTAACAGCACTTGGTACCCGCAGGACTCGGGCTATGGAACACATACCCTTCGATAGATACTTTGTGGCAAGGCAGAAGCCTCGGAAAATGATTTCGGTGTTTTATTCTGAACTCTGGCCAATTTAGCATTGAACTGAAAAAAAATCAGGAAACGACAAAACATTAAGAACTGGCAAGAAAAAAAAAAGTATGTTAAATAATACCAGTATAATTTTAACTTCTTTTTAATTGGATTTTGTACCCGAAAGTAGGAATAGGATCTAGATAGATTGGATCACTGGGCCAATGCCAATAGAATGAGTTTCAACAAGGGCAAGTGCCGGGTCCTGCACTTGGGCCACAATAACCCCAGGCAGTGCTACAGGCTGGGGGAAGTGTGGCTGGAGCTGCCTGGAGGAAAGAGACCTGGGGGTTCTAATTGACAAACGGCTGAATATGAGCCGGCAGTGTGCCCAGGTGGCCAAGAAAGCCAACGGCATTCTGGCTTGTATCAAGAATAGTGTGACCAGCAGAAGTAGGGAGGTGATTATTCCCCTGTACTCAGCACTGGTGAGGCCACACCTCGAGTATTGTGTCCAGTTCTGGGCACCTCAATACAAGAGAGATATCGAGGTGCTGGAGCGAGTGCAGAGGAGGGCAACGAAGCTGGTGAAGGGCCTGGAAGACAAATCATATGTGGAGCGGCTGAGGGAGCTGGGGCTGTTTAGTTTGAGGAAGAGGAGGCTGAGGGGAGACCTCATCACTCTCTACAACTTCGTGAAAGGACACTGTAGAGAGGTTGGTGCTCGTCTCTTCTCACAGGTAATTAGTGACAGAACGAGAGGGAACGGCTTCAAGCTCCAAGAGGGTAGGTTTAGATTGAACATTAGGAAGGAATTTTTCACTGAAAGAGTGGTCGGGCATTGGAATAGGCTGCCCAGGGAGGTGGTTGAGTCACCGTCCCTGCATGTGTTTAAGGGCCGTTTAGATGCAGTGCTAAGGGACATGGTGTAGGGGAGGACTTTGTAGAGTAGGGTAGATGGTTGGACTTGATGATCTCAAGGGTCTCTTCCAACCTAGATGATTCTATGATTCTATGATTCTATTTAATCCTAGGACAATGAAGCTACTTAAATTGTTTTTTAAAAGAATGCAATTACAAGTTACGTTTCATAAAAAAATGCCTCAAAAATTGTAAAGTGAATAGTACAAATATGATAAAACATACATTTAGATGAACAGACAATTATTAAAAAAAAATGTGAAGGCTCCACAGCCACATCTGCAGGAGGAGAAAAGGGAGAGGATGCTAAAAACCTCTGAAACAATCACACTTCCCTCACATTCCAAGGATAACTCGGCCCAAAGACTTTTATACCTTACTTTTTTTTTTGATATGTGAAAGGTTTGAAGTATTTCCTTAATTGTTTCTGTAACGAGAGTGGCTTAAAACCTGACCAACGAAATACACCGTGAATTCCGTGACTCAAATCTACATAGGATTAGAAGTCTTTAAGCTCTTAGAAGTTTATGAAAAAATACATATTCCCAGCATCCAGAAATTAAAAATAATAAAAATAAGCAGAAAGCATTGTTTATTTTTTTTAATAGTTCAAAAACTAGCAAAATTTTCAAAATAATTTCATTTAAAATAATAACACAGCAAACTGCAGTGCCCCCATACAGTAGGTAGAACTCTGTTCCTGAGCAGAAGTGACTCAGGTACTATTATGGACGGGAGCACATGCCACTGATCTTTGTAAAGACAATAATTTTTAAAGTTTGCTAGATGCCATCATATTTGTTAAGTACTAATTATCATTTTTCATGTTCACAGTCTAAGTTTACCCAATGCCCAACAGATCTTTAACTAAGCTTTGTAATACATACCTCTATCTGCAATTTAATTATTTCATTCTGCTTCTCTTCGTTTTGAATTTTCAGCTGTCTAGTTAGCTCTAGTATTTCCAGTTCTTTTTTCTCTGCCTGTTCTCTATACTCCACTTCTTTTACTTCAACTAGTAACAGAGTAACACCAAATACAATGATTATAGAAGATGTTTAGATGGAAAAATAACATAATTTCCCAACTATTAAAACTTTGTTGAACAGCAGATCTATTTTTCATGGGAAAACTATTTCACTCAGTGAAATTTCATTCCCTGTGTCTGTTCTACCTGTTTGGGAATTTCTGCTGATCCTGCATTGCTGTACTATTACTGCCTCATTGCCGCTGCCTCCTCTCTTGAGCAAAGATAAAATTCAGTCAAACACTGTCCACTTCTAGCTTTCCTGTTTCCACTGAGAAGTGGAACTTGCAATTATCCTAGATGAGGTATAGCTCCTATAGGTTACCATGTGTTTTACCCAATGCTAAAGCATTCAGTCTTGAGAGGACTTACATTTTTTTCTTATATCGCAATTCAGCTGTGTTATTTCTAATCTGTGGTCTTCCTCTTTGTTTTTAATTTCTATCATAAGTTTCTCAATCTGATCTTTATATTCCTGTGAATGTAAAAAGCTTCATAAAAATCTTGAGGGTTCTGTGCTCTTAGCCTTCTGCAAATCACAACATTCATGTATAAGTGTACAGCATTCTATAATTCAGTACCTGTTTTATCTTTGATCTAGTAAATTCAAAATGCCCTGTTACTTCTTACACAATCTGGCTGAAGTCCATAGATTAAAAATGTAGCGGATTCTATTGCATCACAGCCATCAGTTAATATTAAATTAGAGACTGTGCTCATGAGGAGAACAGGAAAATGGAGAGGTAATATTTCTTTCCCCCATCCAGGACCTGATAAAATGCTGAAGTTGGTTAAGTGACCACGCTATTACTTTTGTGGATTTTTGACTGTAAGATCGAATAACAAAAATCATATTTAAAGTATGAATTTTGTTAATATTGCTTACACAACTGTGTTAATACTGACTCCACAACTTCACACAGGCAGCAGTAGAAACACCAGGGATGCCAGCAGCAGTGATGCTGGTGGCACTGATGCTCAAGTGAAGTGTCTGAGCACACCTGGTGCAAATCTGCTCCCATAACTACCCCAGAATCATCAGGGAATATGCTGTAGCTGCCAGCGTAGAGGTGCTTGCTCCAAAGCTCTTATCAGAGCCATCTGCCAAGGTAGGTAGCCACTCGCCAGAGCAATGCTCAGAGGCACTCACAAAAGCAGTTACTGATTGCTGGTAATAGTCTATCTACACGGACAGAGTCAACTAAGCACCTTCACAACACCACTAGGAAAGGTTCCACCATGCCCATACATGTATATACTGTATAGACTCATCGTTTTCTCATGTCTTTCAGAAGGGATTACTTATTTTATTCTCAAGCTGTCAAGATAACAGCTCTAGCACTATAAAAAATTAATTTTGACTCATAGTTAGTCCAAGCACAGGCAAAGAAAATCAGCAGTGAGATTTCCTAATCCTAGACAGGTACAGATCCACAATCCTAGCAAGGAGAACCAGTGCAACTTGTGACTAGCCCTGCTGGTGTTACCTCCTTTCCAAAAATGACTGGCATAGATAAAAAGTAGAGAGATGGTCAATGGAATTTGCTAAGAGACGCAGATCGAAGCAGGGACCTATCATCTTTGTAGGATTTACCCCAGAAGACGCTATAGACAAAATTCAGACAGTTCTTGATTCTCTGGCAGTACAGCAGGCATTGTGAATATCAAAACACTATTTCCATACAAAAACTTATTTTAGTGTGACAGATTAGATTTTAGAAAGTAAAGTTGAATTTAAAGCTAAACAGTGAAAAAAAGTAAATGCATCTTAGATTGAGACAGAAGAGTTCTCATTACTTAGCAGTTTCGACCTCTTAGTCCCTGTAATGCTTTCTCATATTGACACTCTCATGAGAACAGATCTTCTCTTTTCACACGTGATAAATGTTAATAAAAGTGCAACAATAATGGTATCAGTAGCAAACCCAAGAATATAATAGATATGAACTGCTACAGTTGAGATAAAATACTATTCCTCTACCTAAAGAATCATAATTTGTGACATACCTGTTCACAAGCCTTTAATTTCTCTTCCAAGATGTGAATGGTACCCTTCAGTCTATCATTTTCATCTATGTAAATAAAAAACTATATGATACACTAAAAAGTACATTTTGACAGTATCATTAGCATGAAAGCAGAATAAGGAAATTACTTTCATTTTTTGACTCTCTGAACTTTAAAAACTTCTTCGTAGACATGATAATCACCATTTACAGAACTACATAATCTCAGTCTCCATTTTTTTTCAAAAAAATTCATAGTCTAATCATAATATTTGCCTGGTATTACTACTTTGAACTGTCTTTAGCCTTCTGATATCTGATGTATTCAAGCAAATGTAGATCTTTAGCACAGAAAATAAAAGATTATTATCATGGCTACTACAGTTTCAAACTGGAAGATGCAACTTTTTAAGTACTTGTTTCTCAGAAACTACAAACTAGTATCTCAAAACCAGAATTTAGAAAAAGCAGATAGTGCTTTTTTTGATTATTAGAAGTCACTTTGAGTATGAAAAGCAGCCATATACCTCAAATTTTTAGAGGTTTATTAGTATTTATGCTAATATGCCTTGAGCACACCATGGGTCTAAAATCAGCTACACCATGTACAGCTAAACTGTGGTATAAAGATATAGCAAATATTTATATATTTTATTGTAAAATACAATGAGTAATTGCCAAGTATTTACAGATAACAGCCAAATTTTACTAACATTACACTGACAATTAAGACTCTTTGGTTTAACAAACTGACAAAAACTATGCATAAACACTTTATAATAGACTACAGTCCAACAGTTGAATGACATTTTTCTCACTTTTTTTAAAATTGTCTGTGCTATGCTGAAATAAATTTAAAACCCAACTACCAATTTAAAAAACCTGACTAAGGCAGAACTTCTTTTACATGTGGACTCTAAGTAGGATAATAACATTAGGCAGTCATTAAGCATATAGAGCACCAAATTCTGCACAAGATTGATTTTAGGTACTTTTTTCTCCTTTCTCTCTGTCTGCCACTAAGTTTCTCTCTCTGAAAAAAAACAGTAGATATAATAATAAAAAAAAAATGCCTGGTCACTCTAAATTGCAGCACAGTACATTATATATAAGAAAATGTTTGCTTTTACCTTTCACGTTACATTGGTTTTCAATGGTTTGTGTTAGACCCTTTATCACATTCTGTAGAGTAGTACATTCTAAAAGAAATGAAAAATCCAGTATTTTTGGATAATTTATCAAAAAATTTATTTTATATTTTGTTTATAAAATTTTCTCAATATTTTATAATCATCTGGGTTAAAGATTAGTCTAAGTCTTCTTACTGTCTATGGAAACAACTCAGACTACTATTACATGGTTGCCCAAACGACTACACTTGTTAATTTTAGCTTTTAGTTTGACAATAGATTAAAAACAATTTTAGCAAGCAATACAAATAATTTCATAAACCTGTTACATTTTTGTTTCTAGCCAGAAAATAAGGATGTTGCTGTTTTCTGGACAATAATGGAAGTTTTCCATATCATCATTCCAGCAATTTGATGTAATTAATGAAAATGAGGCTTACTTTCCTGACAGCATTTTTGCCAATACTTTTTTTAAGTATTGAAGACCAACCCTATCCACTCATTCTCACCTCCTTTGAAGTCCATATTATCATTCATCTTGTTGCTCAACATAAACTTGGAGAGATTCAGAATATGCTACTATATTCCCATTATCTCATTTTAAACAAAACATGTATGTGTATGTTTATACATGCAACTTGTTATCAGTTTACACATTTGTATTTCATAATTTTTTTTAAAAAATTATTTTTCATACTTGAACACCACACGGACTGCTTGTACTACATAATTTGGTTTTCATTAAATATAAATTTTATCCCTTATGTTTCTTGTAACCTTATCAGTAAAGTCACAAAAGATTCAAAGACTGGGAAGACTGGGGACACTAAAACTAACGTTGCTTGGTCTTAAAAGCTTTCTTTCTATTTCCAGAGTACCACTGCATTTCTTACGTGGCTTTTAGTTTCTGCAACAGATAAAGTATGCAAAATAACAGCTACTTGTCTCATAAGACGGAAGCTCTGTTGAAAATTGAAGACCATATAATTAATGACTACATTACAAATAATGGAGTCAGGAAGATGAATTAAGATTCCAGCTCAGAGACTCAGTTTTCCACTCAATCTTTTTGACCTTTATACTATTCTTCCGTCAAGTCTGCATTTCATGCAGCCGAGTTAGCCACCTGTATTCTTTCCTTCCATGCGTCTTAAAAAACAGTAGAGGGAGCACGAACAGCACAGAAACATTGGCTGTCCTCAATCCCTGCATTGGATCAAAAGCATTTGTGGAAAAATCCAATTCAAAGTCAGAAGCACTAGGTTAACATGCCCATTTGTACCAACCACTTCTATTGCAAATTTTCTCCCGTTCGAAAATGTATGGAAATAAACCCAAATGTTTGCAATTTATGCACAAATTGGAAAGATATATATGCATTTGAGTAAACGATAGGACTGCAGGCAGTGTTACAATGAGTCACAGCTATTTAAGTGAAGGCACTCTTTTGTCCAGTCCCAAGAATATTTGCTTATCTTTCTCTTATCTTTCTTATCTTTAGAGAATGTATTTTGGTAAATCCCTTATGTAATTACAGTTGTGACTGGAAAAAATCACAAATTTTGCTTGCCTACATTAAGAAAGAAAAAGCAAAATTTTCCTAAATGGCTGCAGCTTTCTGAATCACTGCTTATAGCACTTGTTATGGATTCTGTGCGGTTCCTTCCCTCTAAAGGATACTCCCTGCATGCAGAAACAGCCTAAGGGCTCTTTTTTCATGTTTAATATCAATATTTTATTGCAGTTTCTTCCATCAGCATTTAAAACTGAAGCTATTGGCTTTTTTTATAGGGCAATTACATCAACCACCTTTTCCTTTAACACCTTTGAAACACTAAGTCAACAAATATGCTATCCTGAAGATGCTAAATAGAGCCACCTTAAGTGTTCCATAGACAATCATGTGATTGCTTTATTTTTAAAAGCTACAGTAGTTTTTAGCTCAGAGTTGTAGCCTGCACCACGAGTCCATTTAATCATCATAGAAAAGGTTTAAGAGCAGAAAACAAGAACGCCAGACTTGCATTTCTCTTAAGAGGATCTGCACTGATTTACACTAAACAAAACCTGTGGCCCTGAATATCACCTTTGTTTAGCAAAGAGCCTATCAAGGCAAAACAAAGCTCGTTTATGACCCTTTAGAACATGTATACACTTGCCCAGTTGCTCATCTTTTCCCACCTTATCTTTGGTTCAAGTGTTTCACTCTCCTCTCTCACTTAAGTGTTAGAAGTTTTCTTTCTTGCTTTGCATTTCCTTCAGAATTCCCAGTCTTCTTTTAGCTTAAACAGTTCTAGAGCAAGACCTCTGGCAATCACGGATAACAAAGAGCCCTCACGTTCTCCCTTACACTCATTAGAGATTTCTGGGGGCAAAAAATGCTATTCCTATTTCGGTTTCTCATACTAACAAAGAGTTCTTCAGCCAGAATAAAATTCCACCTCCCTCACCCCGCCACCACTAGTAGCCACAAACCCTTCAGGGTAGGCGGAACAACAGCCTTTCCTTCCAGAGTGCTCTTTCTCTCTGCTCCTCTGCTGTAAGCAGCATGTTTACTTGGAATCATATGTGAATCATTCACCAGCATGTGATTGCTCATGTTTTTTTCCTTGCCTGTTCCGTGAACTGCTTTGTGGTCTACTGATAAGCCTTACATTCTAAGGCTGAGTTGCCTACCTACCCTGTAAATTCATTTTTGTGTTAAATTTGTAATAAGATGAACTTGAGACTGCACATACATTACGGCTCTGTGTTGACACTGTTCATGAAGAAATCAACTCAGCAGTCCAAACCCAGGAATTTCAGTTGCCTTTGGATCAACTTTTCAAATGATATTTTCAGGAAATGTGGCTGAGCTGGGTTCTGGGAAACAGCCTGGGACATAAGGCTAGAAGAAATCTTTTTTCCCAAGCCACAGTTGCCAATATCACTGTTGCAAAAGCCACTCTTACAACTACAGTCTGTTAAGATAACTGTCGCCAGAGTAAGAATGGAGGTATCAATGCTACATTTTTTCCCCTCTCATCTTTTCCAGTTCTGCAAAGGATCCCTCTATAACTCCATCAGTAATAAGGAGTATATTTTTAATCCCACAGTGCTTTGACTTTCAGAAAGGTTTTACAAAGAATAGAACTATTAGATGCAACATTTTTAGTACCCTGATTCTGAATACACAGTATTCAGCTATTACCCCTTCTGAAGGGTCAATGTTGCAGGTGAATTTGATAAAGATGCAAAGACCATTTCTATCCATTTCAAAAAGAAAAAGGAAAATGCTTTAGAAACATTATATACTTACTACATTTTATAATCACTACACCAACTGTAACATCCTTTTGAAATACTTTTAATGTTACAGTCACTGCTGATCTCCAGTAACATGGTAATTTTTTACCTGAAGGTTCCTCTGATGGCATCCGCCACAAATTATGGCATCTGCTGCCCAAGGTGTCTTATGAAACTCTGCTTTTGGATCACCATTAATGAATACAGCTCAAAACTTATAAGCACTTCATGCCAGGACACTTGAAGCGTTTACCTCACTGCCAAGCACATTAACCTAACAGAACAGCCATGATTAACTGTCTTAATTTCTAAATACATTCTATCTTTTTGTCATCTCTCATTTACCTTTTACTTCCTTACCATCAAGCTTTGAGAACCACCTCTTGGATGTCCCATGTTGTTACAAGTTCCTGCTTTTCACTTTTTGTTCTTACTGCTACTAACAGCTCTGCAATCTCTCTTAGTCATTGACCAGAATCCTTGTCTTCCAACAATTCTGCCTCCTATCTGTATCTGTACTAATTTGTACAACTACTATGACTTCAGTATTACTGAGATCTGTTTTTCCCCGACTATCCCTACTGCTAAAACTTTAGTTCATATTTCATGCTGATTGCTCTGGTATTTTTACTTGGACTTCTGCCATCCCATCATGTGTTTCAAAACAGCTCCAGAGGTTGTTTTCTTCAGTTATATCAGCATGACTACCTCCTCCAGTCACTTCACTCTTATCTCATCGAAGTGAGGCACTAGTATTTACAAATCTCAAATCCCTCTTCTGACTTTCATCTGTTTTCTACTTCCATAGTCCTTGTTGCAGTCATCCCAGCTGCTCTGATTTCCTGAGTTGTCTCTTACTTTCCCTGCTTTTATCCTATAGGTTCCATGGCAAGAATAATTTCGTCTTTTTGTCCACCTTTCCCTTTTTAAGATCTCATTTTGTATAAGCTCACTCCAGTTTTTGTCAATAATGAAGCCCCTTTATCTGTTTGAAGAAAGCTGGAAGACTCAGAAATGGCTGCCCCTCCTTCCCTTGGGAGCTGCATTTAAGCTGAGGCTTTTGCTCTTGGCCTACTTTTTAGTTATGCTACAGCTGTGTTGCAGCCACATACCACGTAGACCTAGACACTGGTCGTGACACAGGGAGTGACTTCCTGGCTTGATTTCAGACCTGCCTCATTGCTAGGGACCTGATAGTGATCACTAGATCATGTCTGGCCTTGGTCACCACTTCTGAACCTGATCCCAACTCCTGTCTTGATCTTGGACCTGTCCTATCACTACATACTTGTTTGGTAACATGGACTTTTGGATGACCCTTGCAGCCCTCACTGGGCCAGTCTTGCACGGGTATGGTGGGGATCAGTCTCAGCTGGTGAAGCCCCTACTCCTGTGAGCCTTGTTACACAATTGGTTTCTGATTCCCTGGCTCTTGCTCCGCCCTCACAATATCAAACCTTGCCAACTTCTCTGTTATCTCTTCTAGTTCTGTTATTTTCATTTGAAACACAAGGACCAGAAAATTAGCTGAAAATCACAGACTATGCAGGGACATGATGTTTGTTTCTCTGTTTCTTTCATAATCACGCCTATCACTGTGTTTGCTTCTTTGACTACTAATATTTTTACAGAACTCTTCAGAAGGACGCGAAGATCTCTTCCCTGAGAAGTAGCCAACTAGGGCCAACCACTGTTTGTATTAAATGCCTCCAATATGCACTGCTACTGGTTTTCATCTCCTCTTTTTATCACTTGTCATTCCGTACCATGAGATTTTTGGCATAACCGAATAGATTAGCATCATTAACAAACTTCACTTACTTACTCAATAGTTTTTCCAATTCATTTCTGATTTTGCTAAATTATTTAAGGCCCGGCGAAGATCTAAGTGAAACCAACTGACAATCTCTCGCCAGCGTGAATCTAAGCTTATTCCTATCCTCTTTCCTAACTTTTAGCAAGTTGACTTGTCAAAGACCTGAGTTCTACAAAGACATGCACCTTTCAGCAACTCTAAAAACTGCAGAAGAATAAGCAACCACAAATTTATGCTAAGTACTAGATATTTCTCTTTTCAAATACCCATCTGAAAAGACATACTTCTAGAATTAAAAAAACCAAACCCAACTTATTTTAATAGTTTTCTCTTTAATTCTTCCTTTATTTGGCAACTTTTTTTATTATGATGTAGAGACTTATAATTTCCACCTGTAAAATAGTAAATGTCATTACATTATTTAGCATCCACTGAACAGTTTGAATCCTTTTAATAATATGAACTTTTATTACTATTTAGCACCATAATGACATCTGCTATAAAAAGTAAAAGAAATATGACCAAAACTGATCACATTAAAGCTGACAGTAACACAAGTACAGGCTATGGAATAAACTTACAACAGTGGTACCAGCTTAATTGAACTCAACCTTGAAGGATTATATGCTACTCCTTACACTTTATAACTGAGTTGGAAATGTCACGAAGATAAAATCTTGACGGTGGCATTAAAAACACAAAATAGGCTGTCACATTGACCTCTTCAGAGATTAAATCTTACACGGATAGAAAGTATAATCACTTTGGACAGCTTTTAAGTCCTCTAGAAGTTAAACAAATGCCTAGGCAGAACAAGACACCAAGATTCCATCAACAGCCAAGGGCCTTACAGAACTAATTAAAGTGAGCAAAATTCAAAGACGAATACTAAAACTTCAATACACCAGTAAGGTACAGGAAAAATATATTCCAAACCCCAAACTGGGCTATCAGATTGTCCCTAAACAACCCAAATAACACAAGCAACTAAGAAATACAATTCTTTATTTTATCTGGGAGCACCAGCCCCATGAGTCAGACATGCCATCTCCAATTACAGGCAAGCTTTGACATTTCAGAAGGCAGCAAAATATGTGTTTGAGAATGCGTCTGGCTCACGTCTCATTGGGCGTGATGTTTCTGGTGACCAGGTGAAACATAACATTTGTCATATTGATACCAATGGAACTGCCAAGCTGGGGGCATCACAGTGTCAGTGCTGGCCTTGCTTTTCTCAAACGTTGACCCTGTTGTACAACACAGACATCTGAACTGCTTATGGGTTAACATAAGTCACAGACGAGCACTTAAAGTAAAACTAACTGATATTAGTTTGCTTAAAAATGCTGGCTTTGTAAACTGTGGCAGTTCACTAGAAACTCAAGAAGCCTGTGGATGGGAAAGGTAAATGTTTGGGCACAATGACATCATCAGGTCCACCAAGCTCATCTGATTCTCTCCCTCTTTCCCTCCCAACATACTGCTTTCTTGGAGAAGGACAGAACACAATAAAAGAAAAAAGATGAGGAGGAAAAAATGGAAAAAAATACAAAAGGAAAGTTATTCTTTCATACGTGTTGCTTGCACTCAAAAATCCCTTAAGGTGGACAGATATGAATGTCAACTGGAAAATAGTTACTTTAATGCAGTTCTCATGATATGTTTGTGGATTAGAGTTGTCTGGTTTATGCAAATGAGACAGATTTCATTACATGACCCAAAATTAAGAGTTACTGTTTTTCACACAGTATCTTAGATCCTTGCTATTTCATTTTGTATTTTTAAATGACTGAAAATACTGGAAATATTTCTCAGAAGTTCCTGAATATATACAAAAACTGTGTTGTTTTTTAAAAGATAACTTACCTTCTTTTACTGATTCCTCCTTTGATTGGCTCAATGTTAGTAACTTGTTACATTTTTCCAGCTGAAGAACGAGTAGGTTATTTGCTTCATTAATTTCTGATATTTTCTAGAAAATTGGAAAAAGACTAAAGTTACAGTAATATATTTTGATTTAAGTTTTAAATCTTGAGTTTTAAATTTTTGTAAACTTTGACAATTTCACAACAGTGCAGTCACAAACCTGTACTATTTGCAATTCTGGCAATTCCTTTAGAGAGAAGAACAATGCTACAGTAGAGAGCCTGAGCTATTGCCAGTTTACCCTGCAGAACTAAATGCCAACTTGCATCACTAATTATAAGCTGGTTTCTTCTCAATTCTGTAGTCCACAGTCTGGATCAATCTGTTTCTACTGCTTTGCATATGAGGCTGTCAATGCCCTCACTGAGAATCAGCATGAGTAATGGGTGTGCACAGCAACTGGTATAACATTTTTTCCATAAGAAATGATAAAATTATTTCAGGTGCCCCTTTCATATTATCTCTACTATAGATTTACTGATCAGAAAACCATCAGAGAGCTAGTCAAGGTGGGTTTAACAAGAAATACACTACTGATTTTGGTACTCGGTGGATCATTTTTTTAAGGACTGACATACACATAAAGTAAAAAGAGCTCAATGTATATGGAAAGTAAAAACATCCTCCTGCTATGGCAATGACATTTTTCTAGAATTTCTGAATGATAGTCCAGCAAAGCGGTGGGATACTGCTATCTCCAATAGCAGCTTCCAGTATAAAGGAACACTTCCACAACTTTCCTGAGAAGTCAAAATTGGCCTTTGCACCACTAAAATTCTAGCACAGAAACAAAGGCTTCTCAGACTCCACAGAAGTCACTCATATCACTCTGAGATAGGGCCAACACACCTTCTGAACAAAGTTGGCATTAGAAGGCATATGAATAAGAACTAGCTGATATCACTTAGAAGATGTTTTCAGTGAAAAGCTTATTAAAATGTCCTTAAGTATTTATAGATTGCAGTTTCAACATTTTTACCTTCTTCACTTACCTTTTCTATCTCTGAGAAGTTATCTAAAAGTTTATCAAGGTTCACCACACTGATTTTCTTCATAGATTCTTCATGGCTGTGATTCATTTCTTTCTGGACCATATAATTCAGTGATCACTGTATATATATAAAATAGGTCTATGAATTCATATATTTCTCATTCATACTATGTCAAAAGATTTTATATGCACAAATGTAAGGAGAACATGCTATACTTTTTAATTAAAACTATTTTTGCATGTGAAGCTAAACTTCAAACAATGTAAGATCTTTCATTTCTAGGAATGTCAGAAGGCCCAAGCAAAATCTATCAAACTGTTAGATAATATAGTTGAATTTAGAATTTTGTGCTGCAATTAAAAAATAAACCTAAATCCACTTCCATAGACACAATGGTGTAATTTTACCTAAATATATTAATGGTCTGCATATATGATGTTTTTCAAACATATTATCAATTTTTCTCTAGATAGGTTGCTAAAACAGACTGGTCTTCCTTGTCCTCCCATTAAAGAGGAGGAAATTCAATCAATTGAAACAATTATTCACTCTCCAACATGCGTATTTTAGAGGCAACAGGTGAAATTTTGTTAAGTTCGATTAACTTAAAAAATGTTACTTAGGTAAATGAGATTTTGCCAGGCACACATCAATGCAGGGTCTAGACTTTATACCTGTGTCTTAATGACTCAGGCTTCAAGTTCCTTACACGTTTTCTTATATCTGTATTAATATCAGTGATGAGACACTGCAGCGCATAAACCTTACCATATGAGTAAAAAGACAGTATTTTGAAAATCACCCATACAGCTCCAGATTATTAACACAATTCCTATTTTTAGCAGAAGTTCTACTTACAGAATTTTCAACATAGACATGCAAGATGGATCTAAGAGACACAGCATGAATACTTCTAAAAATATTGAAGCATCAGGCTCCATGAAACAAAAATTCCAGCACCAGATAAACCATGTATTCCAGACAAAACCTTCAGCACTGTGTGGTAATGTATGAATTGTCTTTTTACAAATAACAAAAAATTGTAATGAGAGAGATGAACCAGAAGTTAGAACCTGTGCACTATGCAGAAACTGAATGTGTTTCCAGACAGAAGTACTTATAGTAATGTTAGATGGAAATAGATATGTAAAGGAACAACCACTAAGCAGGAACCAAAATTACGTAACTGAATTATTTTCTCAGTCATTCAATATTTACAAATCTTTACGTGTATGTAACTATTTTACCAAAGCAGTATGATATTAGTTCTGTGTGTTTAATACTCACTTTTCTCTTGTATCCATTGTTTCCTCAGAGGACTAATTAATTAATTAGCTAATTAATTCATTAGCTAAAGCTATTTAACTTTTCTTTTTCTTAAAATCAATCAACAATTCTTAAGAATATATGTAACATTAACGAACTAATGCTTTTAAATTTAAGATTTTTTTACTAAGTTAGCAATCTTAATATCTTCTAAGTGCTACTACAATGAAATGATTTGTTAAAATGGAGTTTAAAGTATTTATTCAGAACATTTAGTTTTGTAAAACAATTATGTATCTTAAAATTCTACTAGTTGATAAGCTAAATGTACATTATGAATGCCAAGCCCTAATTTTTCCATTCCTTATCATGGACAGTATCTTATCAGTTTGCTAATCACTGTATGTTTTAATCATGCTCTTAAAACTGTGGTTTGCCCTCTAAATTTGGACTTGAGGATGGGAGTTCAGGGAGCCGCCATCTTGTGTGCTCCTTTGTTGTGGGTTTCCTTATTCCATGGCACCATTTGTTTTCTCATAAGCCTGGATGTGCTCAGCACTTGGCAGCATTAGGCAACAGTGCCACTGGGAATAAAACTCCTGTTGAACTGAAACAGTAAATTAAGAATGGTATGTTGTATTATTAATGTTGTATTCTTCCAGCTGGAAAATTCATCACTTTTATTTTTGTGTATACTATTATTATATATGTTAGGTCTTCCAAAGGCTTTTTTGTTAAGCCTCCCGTCTCTGTTTTGAACTACAGTATTTATTTCACTAGGCGGAAAATTAAAGATTTAAAATGTATTTTTGACTGTCATAAAACCGACACCTTTGTTTGATCTTCTTTAAGCCCTTGCTGCTGATGCTCTCTCAGTATCCTTTTTGAAGTTTTCGTTGATGATCTGACCTTGGAATTTAAGGTATCTTTTTTGCTTCATGTAACAGTGAAACCTGTATTTATAACCAGAATAAAATTAGTAGATATTAACTTTTAACTGCATATGTCAACTGAATATAGTACTTATTCAATAACAGGCACTTCAAATAGTCTCCTCATTTCTGGGCCCCGCCCTTCACCTGACATTTGCAGCAATGCAACCTTGCTGTCATTACTCAACTCTTTCAAGACCCCACTGAGCGCATCTAAAACGGGGTTTGCAGACCAGAATTATGCCCGCCAAGCGGCACGATCCCCATCCCCATCCCTTCACCCGGTTCCACAGACCGCAGCCCGCACCCACGAGGCCCAGGCGACCCTCCTTCCCCTTTCCCACCTCTGCCCTTCGCCTGCACAAAGTGCCCTGGGTCGGACTCTCTCACAGCCTCAGGTGAGGCCGTTTTTATCCCCCCGGGCGCGGGCAGGACGACAGGGCTCCCCACAGGGGCGAGAGGCCGCGGTAGGAGGCGACAGGCCGCCCCCCTCACCCTGCCCCGCTCGGCCACCGCCACCTGACAGGGACGAGCGCGCGACCGCCCGACGGCGGGAACCCCGGAGCGCACCACCGCCCACCCCGCGGGGGGAGCCTTCGCTCCCCACCCCCCTCCCCCGGCGCCCCCCGCAGGTGGGCTGGACCACTTGCCCGCCCTGTAGACAGCAGTGTCGGGGGCGGGGGGGAGGCTGCCCCCTCGCCCGGCCCTGAGGGGAGCCGGGGTGGCCGGTGGTCTCCGCGCCTCACTCGCCAGCTCCCCATAGGATAACCGTCCCCTTGGGGACAGGGTGAGGGGGCAGCCCGGGTAGTGCACCCCAGCGCTGGCTTCAGGTAGCCCCAAGGGCAGTGCCTCTGCCCCTCACCAAAAAAACCTCAACACAACCCCAACGCCTCAGCAGAGCACCTGTCCAGGCCCCGATTTAACTCCTCTGTGTAGTATTGACTTCAGCAAGGCCTTTGACACTGTCTCCCATAACATCCTCATTGGGAAACTAAGGCAGTAATGGGCTGGATGAGGGGACAGTGAGGTGGATTGAGAACTGGCTGTGTGACAGGACTCAAAGGGTAATGATTAATGGAGCAGGGTGTGGAGAGGCGGGGGTCGCTCTCTTCTCCCAAGTCAGCGGCAATAGGACAAGAGGAAACGGCCTCAAGTTGTGCCAGGGGAGGTTCAGATTGGACATTAGGAACCGTTTTCACACTGCAGGGCTTATTAAGCACTGGCAAGGGCTGCCCAGGGAAGTGGTTGAGGCACCATCTCTGGAGGCGTTCAAAAGAAGGGCTGACAAGGTGCTTAGGGACTTGGTTTAAGGACAGGTTTTTTTTCTCAGAGTTGGGTTGATGGTCGGACTAGGTGATCCTAAAGCTGCCGTCCAAACAAGACGATTCTATGGTTCTATGAATCTCCAAGTCCCGTGAGGAATGCAAAGCAGAGGGCCAAGTGGTCAGCGGGGTCTCTGGCCAGCATGTGGCCCCGCTGCAGCTCTCTCTGTGGCGTCAGAGCCATGAGGTCAGAGCGTGCGGGGCCAGGCCTTTGTGAGGTCGTGCCCTGTGGGCCATAAGGTGTGGGCTCGCAGTGTGCTGCTGGCTGTGTGCCTGGGGCAGGCGTTCTCCTCGGGGCTGTCTCCAGGAGGGCTCTGCCCGCAGAGAGCAGGCGACACTCGAGTGGCTGCAGGAGGGCACCGAGAGAGCTTCTCTTTCAGGAGAGCTTCCTTGCTCCCCAGGATGGGAAGGATAAGGGCTCCTGCAAGAGCCCCCAGCAGATGGGCCAGAGGCCCCTGGGCGCGATCTGGGCAGGGTCGGGGCACCAGGCGGCCAAGGCTCACACGCTGCAGGGCTGCAGCCAAGAAGGGTAAGTTGAGGGCTGCCTTTTTTCCGGCCATGCTGTCACCAAGGCTGCCTGGCTGGGCCGGGAGCCACGGCCCTGCACAACCAGCGCCATCCTGCCCCGAGGGAGGCCTGGGGCCACCTGGCCTGGCAGAGCATGTGGCGCTGGCTCCCCTGTGCGTGCCTTGGTGGGATCCTGGAGGAAGGCCGCGGTCCCCCAGGACTGGGGCCACCCTCCCTGCCC